TCCCCCATTGTCTTTTTCTCTCTTCCCCCATTGTCTTTTTCTCTCCCCCATTGTCTTTTCTCTCTCCCCCCCATTGTCTTTTCTCTCTCCCCCCATTGTCTTGTCTTTTCTCTCTTCCCCACCTTGTCTTCTCTTTTCTCTTTTTGTTTTCTCCCTTCCCTTTCTTTTTCTCGCTTCCTTCTCATTTTCTCTCTTCCCCTCGCTTTCTCTTTTCTCTCTTTCTTCTCGCTTTCTCTCTCTTTTCTCTCTCTTGCCCCTTGGCTTCTCTTTTCTCATTTTCTTCTCCATTGCCTTCTCTTTTCTTTACTTCTTTTTCTATTTGCCTCTACTTTCTATATTCTTCTTCTTTCTTCTTTTCGCCCTTTCATATTTTCTTTCTTCTTCTACTTGTTCTTTTTTTCTCTTTCTTCTCTATTTTCCCTTCTTTTCCACTTCTCCTTTCATCCCTTCTACTTTTCTACCTTTTCACTTCTTCTTCTTCATCTTCTGCTTCTATTTTTCTCTTTTCTTCTCCCTTCATCTCTTCTTCCTTTTCTCTCATAATCTACTCCCATTCTTTCTTTTTCTCTCTTCTTCTTTCCTTCTCAACCACTTACTCCCCGTTTTTCATTCCTTCTTCAACCTCTCTCCCTTTACACCCCTCCTTCTCACCATATACCCCGTGTCTTTCTTTTCTTTTCTTATCGTTTTAATATAATTCCTTCATGCCTTAAAATATTTTAAGCAAACAAAGGACAACTGCTTTCATTTGTCCAATTGTTTAGCTTATTTGCGAAATCTTAATGACGAAAACAAAGAACGGCCATTTTCTTTTTTTCCAAAGGACACAAATAAAAACAGGTTTTAATTAAATGAAAAAAACTTCAAAGCAAAGTGAGAAAGATGGACGAGGAATGTGGAGATGCTAAATTAATTCTTTGCCGACAGATGAACAGAATTTGAGAAGTTCAAACAATACATGAAATAAATGATGGCAAACAGTCGAACTTTTCGGAGAATCAAACAGGCTATATTTATTCGTAAACGCCATTTTGTTTTAACGCCATATTTGTTTCTGTGTCTATTTTACCTCTTTTCAGGATTAGCAAACTGGGCTACTTTTAGTGAATTTGTCTTTATTTGAAAGCCCAGAGCTGCTAAATTTTGAATCGACTTGCTCAGTATTTGCCTAAGTTAGCACTGCTTATTTTAAATGCAGACACAAAAGTAGGTACCTCTCAAAAAGCCATTCCAAGCTAATAGATTAAATTAAATATTCCCAATAAGCAAAATACTTCGGTGTATTTTGAACCGGATTTAAATTGATTGGAATTTTTCACTTTTTCAGTAAAATTTATAAATTTTTCCATATTGTAAATCTGTCATTGCAACATAATGCTATTTTTGTCTATAGATGAAGTATTGTAATTATTTACATTGTACAGACTGTTCTCCTCATCTTTATTGCCATATTCACGACGTTTCTGCAGGTGATTGGAATTTCGAACTGAACCATTTATTTTGGCCTACCGAGGTAGATTGTTCGAGGTCCCTGTTCTAGTTCCGGATGTCTCAGTTATCTAAACTCTCCAACTTTCTGTTCACCATGTATTGAACTCACAACTCTTTGGGTCAAGTCACTGGATCCAACTAACGCTTTTATCCACTCGACCATTTCTCCTTGTGAACATCAGTGTGTGATGCTCAACTGACCTCACTATACTGTGCAGTCGACAAGATCAAAAACAAACAACGCGCATGCGCGAAATTGAAAATATAAAATGGCGACAATGTAGATAGATAAAATTAGCTGAGCTAGCTAGATAGATAAATTGAGAAAGAAAACGAGAGGGAGGGGGAAAATAAAGAACTGTTAGATTGAAGAAAATCAGAAAAAGGGATAAGAAAAGAAGTAAAAAAAGGAAAAATATGAAGATCTCTGGAAAAGAAGAAGAAAAAAGGAAGAAAAAACGATATAAAGAGATGGATAGGTAGATGCTAAAACAGATAGAAAGAGAGAGAGAAGAAGAAAAAGAGGACAATTAAAATAGATAAAAAAAGAGAGAAAAAAGAAATATTTTTAGAACTTATAAATTTAATTCCTCTGTTTAATTTTTTTTTCTTTTTTACCAGAGCTCATATAGCAATTTTGTTGTTATTATCTATCAGTCCACCTAAGCTGGATGAAATAAAGAGTTCAGTTTGAAATTCAAATCACCTTAAGAAGGCCGGAGAGTACAACGGCCAAAACGCTGTGAATATGACAATAAAGATTAAGATACCAGTCCGAACAATGTAAATAATCCTATACATTTTTAAATCTTTCAAAAATGAAATATATCTTTATGAAACATTATTTCAGTAAGATTAACTGATTTAAAGTTTAATTAATCAGATTTGAAAGAAATATTACTTACTTTTTGTTTAAAATATCACAGAAAAGCATTTTTATCATGAACTGGATATTTTTTTACGTTTCGATTAATTGATAGTTTGATGTTGAAACGTAAACGCCTTTATATATGGTATGTTTTGCATATCTCTCTGCATAGTAGTAATCGTAGTAGAGTTCTCCGTGTCTTGAATAGCAACCGGGTTTGCTAGGCACAGCCACCCTATGTTCACCATTTGTTCTCTATTTACACTTGTCTATCTAATTTGCATACGATACTACAATATACAAACATATTTAAACTAAACAGTAATCTTTAACAATTATGAGAATATTCTAAGAAAATCTAATATTTTGGTATTCTAGCTTCAGAGCCGCCTTATTTACGAAGAATGTTGTTGAGAAAAGTTTAGAAAATTATGAATAAATTTTCATTTACATGGAATACTGCTGCCATATATGGTCTGGTGCCCCCGTTGTTCGTCTCGAGGTCCATAGATGGATATGCAATGTGATAGTTCCTGATCTGGCATCTCGTCTACAGTCACTTTCTCACAGACGTGCCGTGGCTTCCCCCTGTCTTTTCTACAAGTATTTTCACGACAACTGCTCCGACAAGCGACTTTCACTAGTTCCCAAACTGCATGAATTTAAGCGTGCTACTAGGTTGGCATCTCGGTCCCACCCTTTCACTGTCGAAACGGTTAAATGCAACCACATCTTCCACTTCAACAGGTTCTTCTGTTGCACTTCCCGACAGCGGAACTCCCTTCCTATTACTTGATTCTCTGATAGCTATAATCTTCAAATATTCAAATGCAATGTCAATCGACATCTTCTGATGCCTTGATCTTGTCCCGTGCCCCTTTTTTATCCTTTTCTCACCCCCCCACCACTTTACTCTTGCTCTCATTCTCTCTAAACCTTTACATGCTAGTGACACTCCCGCCTTGCTTTGGGGGTGAAATGCTTAAAAAAAGGTATGTTAACGTTTGATTATGTTGTGTATGGATGTCCGTATTTGTAATATTTTCCATTTAAGATTAGCATATGCTGTTTTAATTTAATAACAATATCAATAGACCGATAGAAATGAGTACAGAATTTTAAAAGATTTAAAATTTTATAAATTATTCTAAATTATAACTTAAGACGGTGAAAACAATTCTTGTATAAATTCATTATTTATGGAATTTTTTTTTTTCTCAAAACGATAATATCCATAATATATGCTATTCGTAAAAGCAATTAAAAGTTTTTTTAATTAAAAAAAAAATGACTCAATTTTTTTTTTTTTTTTTTGCATTTTTAATTTGCGATTCAGATGAGATTTTCGTTAACCTGGAGTCCTGTTTGACCAAACACATTTGATTATTTAAATTCTCCGAGGATTTCTCCTTATGGCAAATATAAACATTAAATGACAAAAAAAAAAAAAAAATTCCTGAAAATTCATAAAATTAAATGAGTGCGGAGTAAAAGATTTTAAAAAAATATATATTTTTACAAAGATCTCAAAAAGAAAGGTTTCATATTTGAATAAGTTTTTAAAGTTTCATTAAAATCCGAATTATCTGATTTTTGCAAGAATTTCAAAATCAATGTGTTTTTTATCAGTAAAACGACTAGCAATTTTTCCATACAAATTTAAGGCCCTGCGTTGACGCAAAATACAAAGTTTTAAACCAAAATCTCCAAGGTTTAATATCTTTTTTAAATTAAAACAAAAAATCTTTTTTTGTCTTTTCTCTTCATAATAAGACAAAGATTTTGACGATACAATTTTGTTTTTATTTTTGCGATAATAATTTTTTCTTTCATTTATCCTCTTTTCTTCTTTATATTTTTGGAGACACCTATCCCAAAGTAACACCTAACGAAATTCTGAATTTAATAGAACAAGGCATTTCAAAATTAGCCAAATCTTGTAACTCTGCTTACAAGCATGTCTTTTAACTAATATGCTCCAAAAAGGAAGTTCAATTTGTGACTTGGTTCTAAACAAAATTGACCTCCCCAATTAACGACCATTTGTTTATCAAATACTCATCATCTACAGGGTGGTCTCTAGAATCCGTCCACGCATAGGATATTGTTCTCACGTCTGGTTTGGTGTTTCTGCTATGCATTTAGAGTTTCTCGATAAAATCCAAAGAATCTGCAATGTTACGTGTCCTTATCTTGCATCTCGGCCTCAGTCACTTTTCCATCTCCGTAATAAAGCTTCTTTTTGTAGTATTTGTTCTGTTGAGCTTTCCTCTTTGGTACCGTGACTGTACGAATTTAAACTCAGTACTAGATTGCCAGCTGGGTCTTATCATTTTACAGTTAAATTTGCTAGATGTGGCCGTAAGTTCTATGCCAACACTTTCTTCTCTCTTACGCCTCCTTGCGTCACAGTCAACTTTGATTTTCAAAAACATAAATCCAAACTCACTCCTCATCTGTTTCCACTCTGCCATTTTACTGTCCTTAGTCCTCAATGTTTTTCTCTTTTTCCTTCACTCCCGGTAACCTCTTTGCGTCTTATCGCCTTGTTTGGAGTGAAATGATTAAAATGATTTTTTTTTTTTGAATATTAGTCAAAGATCAATCATACTGGTTTACAATGCTTCTCATAATAAAAGTGTTTGACAGACCTTCCATTTGATGAATCCGAAACCAACAGTTATTATTTTTGGCAATTCTTCGTCTATTAAAAATAAGATAATTTTTCATGTAACAGACTAATGAAAATAGAACTAAATACTACTCAATAATTGTCGATAACGCTTCGTTTAGTAATCGGTATTGCAAGAAGACTGAATGCTGGTTGTTAGGAAAAGTGTCAGCCCAACATACAAATTACAAATTGGCGATGCCAACACCATACAAATACAAAATTTTCAATACCTGTGAAGTGTTTTAACAGATGACGGAAAAGTATGACACCGAAATCCGAATGAGCATTGGGTTAGTGAAAGATGCCTTCCAGAAGCTAAGCAGGGTATTGAGAAACGGAAATATTTCTTTAGAAACAAAGAAAAGTGTACTGAGCTATCATGTAATCTCAGTCGTCTTCTAGTGCTGTAAATGCTGGACCATCTCCTCACAGATGGAGAAGTGACTTGAAACAACAGAAATGTGGTTCTACAGAAGGGTGCTGAGAATACTATAGACCAAACATGTGAGCAATGAGGAAGTTTTAGAGAAGATGGAAGACAAAAATGACATGTATACTTAATAGCATTGTTATATAGTAATAAAGTGTCGCTGCCAACACTGTAGTTTGAACATAGATCACCAGAGAGCAAACACAAATGATCCCATTTTGAATGCATAAATCACGTGATGGTAAAATAAATGTATATATGTGAATTAGCGTGGTGCCTAATGGATCACTCTTCTATACTTTCGTCTATTACTATACGGATCGCTATTTCTATTCTATCCTCTATTGCTATACGGATCGCTATTTCTATTCTATCCTCTATTGCTATACGGATAGCTATTTCTATACTATCCTCTATTACTATTCGGATCACTATTTCTATTCTATCCTCTATTACTATTCGGATCACTATTTCTATACTATCCTCTATTACTATACGGATCACTATTTCAACTCTACCCTCTATTACTATACGGATCGTTATTCTCTATACTATTCTTTATACAGATCACTAAACGGATTACTAATCGTTGGTTTTTATTCGAGCGAATATTTTCTGGCAAGTACTATTAATGCGAGTGATATTCGAAAGCGACTGACACCAGTATTGTTCACCGGTGTTACTACAGTTGTATCTGCGATTACAAAGTCTCTACTACAACGAGAATTACAAAAGTGACAACGAATATTAGTTGACATTACGAAAGTATCAAACTGGTGTTCGTTGACATTCCAAAAATCATGAAGAGACATTTGGAATTTCTAGGGCATATAATGAGGAAAGAGTGCTTGGAAAATTTGACACACACATCTCGGATTGAAGTAAAGAGAGACTGAGAAATGTAGCACATAACCTACCTAGAATGCTTGATTATGTGAATGGCGGAACAAGTTTTAAGATCGATAACAAAGACAACATTTATTAAAATCTACAAACGTCGGGAAAATGGGAAGAGCCATGATCGCCAACGTCCTGAAGGAACCACGGCACTTTGAAGAAGAAACATTAAGTTGATAACATGAAAGGCTAAATATTTAAAAGAATAACTAAAATATATGTTAAGAGAAAGAAAAAAAATGATATGAAACGCTAAATTATATAATGCAAACATCTACAATCGACTGATGATGATTCAGAATCGAGTAATTAAATTATCACTTGTGTGCGAGGCTGTAGGTCGCTTGGGCCTAAAAGAAAACAATTTTCGTTCTCTGAATGTTTTGGGATATGATGTTTTTTTTCTATGTAAGTGGAGGCAACTCCAGATTTTATGGAGGTGGTTAGGTAGAGGGGGGAAAGGTGTAGGTAAAGTTGAAAAGATTGTGATCGACGGGGTCGGGGGTAAGAAAGGCAGGTAAATTGAGGCGGCGGGATGGGTTAATAAAAAAAAAAAAAAGTTTGATAGGTAGATAGGAGAAAGGTAAGCAGATAGGGAAATGGCTTTCAAGAGATTTATTTTGATTGGACGAGATAATGGAAGGTCGCCGTATGAATGAGGTGCAACCTCATGGATGAAAATAAGAAAAACTAAGTAAATTCATCAGCGAAGAAATTATTATTATTATTATTATTATTATTATATATTTTTTTACTCTGCTATAAACAAACATCAAGAAAATTTTATCAAATTTAAGAACAAACATACGATATACATTTCATAAATAATAAACTAAAAATAAATAAATAAGACAACAACAATAATAACAACAATAACAACAACAACAACAATCTTGGCAACACAAAATAACTCCTGAAGATGATACGGGAAGGGGTTGCCACTTGTAACAACATTCGGGTGAATGTTATATCATTTTCAAGTCCATACAACATACACCTGGATTAATTCATTTACATGAAGCAAAAAATCAAAATAACATCGCTTTTTAACGGATATATTTACCAAAATTACACAAAATTATCTTGAAATACTAGAGTAAATTTATTCAATAAAATCGCCATTAGCTTCAACCACGGCCTCCAGACGACTTCAGAATCTCCTGCAACTCTTCTAGACAGTCTCCTTGTTTAAGTTGGTGAGTGCTGCCATAATTCTTGCCTTCAATTCATCTGATGTTACAACGCGTTTTGTTGGTCTCTACTTCAACTGCGCCCCCACATATAATAAGCAAAGAGTTTGCAGTTTGGGGTTTTATGTGGTCAAATGTAAGGGGTAATGAGGTTGTAGAAATTGTCAAACAGCCATGACCGGGTTCTCCTGCACCAGAGTCTGTGGTCAGATATAGGGTCTTCCTACTTGACCCAGAGCAGCACTACCTCTGCAAGGCTCTTGATGTAAGCCTCCGTGTTAAGTCTGCGGCATTCGTCAACAATTTCCGTTCTTTTCTTATCGGAACGATCAGTGAGTTTTTTGAACAGCCGTACCTTCGTAATCACCATTAGACTCATCCAACTCTTTCTGAATTCTCTGCACTGTCCTCAGATTGACACCCAAACACTCTGAAATATTTGTATTGGAGCTTCCAATGTGAATGCCAAGCAGATCAGTAGGACTTTTCCAAATTTCTGGCCGAGTGAATTGCGTCCTGATGATATTTTTCTCACAGATGGTGCCCAACTGGCCTTTTATTACCCCTTTTTACCCAAAATTAAAAATAGAAAATGGCGACAATTTACCCAGAGCACCCTGTATGTATATATATATATATATATATATATATAAGGTCTGATTTAAAAAAAAAAAGAAAAAACGTATCGGGAATGGTGTTACAAAAAAAACAAAAACAAATAAAAACTACAACACCTATCAATTCAGCATTTAATCTCCTTCAAAATAGTCCCCTTCTGAAACCGGATACTTTATCCGGTGTTGTTTCCATTCAGGGAAGCATCATTGGAACCCCTTTTTCACGATAGCAAACAGATGTCACATCACATTCTCTTGGATTTCTTCAACGTCTCGAAATCTTGGGAAATGGGATTTAATTTTTGAAAAGAGGAAAAGTCACATAATCTGGAGAATATGTTGGTTGTCGGGCCCAACACTGCTGTACAAGCCATGCTCACTTTTAATCTCAGTGGTGTGGTGACACAGCCACACTCTACACACTTTCCTTCAAATTCTATAAACAACAGATGAGAAAGATGGTGCACATGCACGACGTAGTTCAAAGTCAATCTGTACCAAGCAGTTTCGCTCTGTATATTTTAGGTATCTTAACATAGCAAAAGTCCTGGTGTTTTATGGCCAGACCTCATATGATAAAAATATAATTTTAAGGTATACTATATTTATGGGTAAAAGTGCTCAACATTGGGGTTAGCGCATACGTAGATATAAACGTGGACACTGAGATCAACACCGTATGGTTACAGTCTGTTTCATGCTTGAATGCTACCTTCAGACCATCACACACACGTCTGTGTGCCAAATTAGATGAAAGAATTTAACAAATTGTTAACCTTCTGTTATGAGGGAGAAAGTGACTGACAATATTCCTTTGAGAATTTTGCAGTGATATTAGTGCATCTGATCGTTAATGCGTTATCTCGTTAGGGATATTTTCTTTTGTGGAATCTAGACATATATTCGCCTGAAAACGTGGTTGGGCAAATATTGTGGCGTGTGCTGCGCCACGTGGTTCGTTTGGGACTAAGAAATTAGTTCGCCTGACTAGATGAACTTTCGGTTTACAATGGGAATACGGTCGAAACAAGGGTGATTCGGCTCTGCGAAAGTACCATGGCATGTCCTGGCTGTAAAAATCTGATCTGGTCTGGTCAAACTAAAGACTGGAATATTTTCGCTAGAAATGGAAATAGTGATAAATTAGCAAAGTGGCATTTGTAGTTGGGTTTCATTCGTTTTATTTTTTTTTCGTTTTTTTTTTTTTTTTTTTAACGACATATCAACACCTCAATGAGTTATTTAATACCAACAAGATTTTTATTGTTGGTAATATTTTTTATCTATCTATCTATCTATCTATCTATCTATCTATCAGGTTTGTTTTGTTTTACAGCATATACACCTCAATGGATTATTTAATGCCAACAAAATTTTTATTGCTGGTAATATCTATCTATCTATCTATCTATCTATCTATCTATCTATCTATTGGTTTGGTTTGTTTTACGCCATATCAACCTCAATGGATTATTTAATGCCAACAAGATTTTTTTGCTGATAATTTTTTTTTCCAAAAATGTATTGCTGGTAATAATTTTTTTTTTTTATAAAAATATACTGCTGGTAATAATTTTTCCAAAAATGTATTGCTGGTATTAAAGCCTCTTTTTACACTTTCATAGTGTTTTAAACGCTTTTGTGAGGGTTAACTATTTGCCCATAGCCGGGTCCCTGGGCCAAGGTGAACCTGGGAACACCAGAAATTAAGAGGTGGTTCCATGATTCTCAAAATCCCCTGATCAAAGGCTTTGTTGCCGGAAATAGTTCATCGTCATATGCAGGATGTGGATGTAGTTTATCGTCATACCCAGGACAAGGCATTTGTAGAGA